ATTCAGTGCTTCTACTAGGAGAATGCCCCTGCTGAAAGGGGAAGCACGGGCTGCAAATGGCCCGTATTGTAACAGCGGACGAGCGAAACTGGTCCGGTGGGCGGTGGGGGGTGCCTAGCGTATGGTGTTGCCTGTCAGACCCCCCCCCAAACACACACAAATAACCCAACTGCCTGGCCTCGTGGCTCCTATGGCTCCTGTCTGGTCTGCCTGCCCTCCCTTCGCCTTGGTCTATGGCTGGATGGAGAGGTGTAGAGAAGGCAACGGTCTTGTTTGATGCCGCATCCTGCCCTGCCCGCTTGGTCAGAGGGGCACAGCAACACACCGTGCATTCTGACGACACACGACACACACACACGACACACACACACACACACCGACAGACACACACACACCACACACACACACGGGACACACCACACACACCACTGGTATCGTACCCTCCGTGCTGGCACACAGTCTTGAGGTGCCCACACACGCAAAGTTGAAATGGTAGATACACACACATTACAGTTAGAGGAGAGGAGAGGGAACCAGACACAGGTGGGGGGCACACTCAGTATCTCGTGTATACAAACACACACACACTACACATCACACACACACACACACATCACTCCCCATCCCCGCAGCATTGTGTGGTGCCCTGTCTCCTCCTGTATGGCCGGCACAGCAGCCAGCCCCGCGCCATTTGCTAATGTTTTCTGCTTGAGTGTGCAGACCCCTTTGACTCACTCACCAGCTGGTCGGCCAGTGAATAGAGCTGTGGGCTCAGGTCCATGTCACTTGTGAGGTCTTGGCGGAGTGTTTTTTTTTGGGGGGGGGCGTGTGTGTGTATGTGTGTAGAGAGGGAGTGTGTGTGTGTGTGTGTTTTAGAAGGGGTGAGGGTTAGGATGCAACAAACCACCAGCAGCATCAGGGCATTTTACTTCACAAATGTCTCCCATTTCTCTTACTATCTTCTCGGTGTCTCCTTGAATCTAACCAACTAAATGATTCATAAACTCCATGTTTATTCCTTTTATCTCGTATTAGTTCATAACCTCAAATAGCTCTCCCTAGACTTTCTTTTATCAAACAATCCAAACCATAGAGCTCAAGATACCACGTGCGCAGCAGTGGGCTCAACAATAAACAATAAAAATATATTCCAGTGCACACCATGATACTAGGATTGACGATTTCCTAGTTTAATCCAAACAATCGCTCTGCCAAAAGCCACCTGGCCAAAATCCCATGTAATGATTTGTTTACAGGTGCTGGACCTGTTTGAGAGTCTTTCGGTTTGAAAAGAACAAGTCTAAGCTGGTTTTGACATAGTTCATTGCTGTTCACACCAGTTTGCCTTTGCTAGTGTTTCACATACGCAGTTTCTGAAGTCAGCTTTTGGGCATAAAAAGAGAACGAGCGCCAATTAACTCAAGTCAGACAGCTGCTGAGAAAACAGATCAATGCTTGTGCAGAGTAGGGCCTCTTTCTGCCTCTATCGTGTGTGTGTGTGTGT